GCCCTCAAAGCCTCCCAGCAGCATAACTTTGCCATCTGGAGGATGCTAGGAGATGTTGCCCAAAAAAGCCACTTTTCCAATCTATAAAACAGTGGGACAAAAGAATTTTGTGGGTGAGAAAAGAGCCTGGAGTGTAAGTGCCGGGTGGACAGGTTGGCATAAAGAGTAAAAACAGATTTCACTTCTGGTTTGAGGGTTACTAGATAAACACTCCCACAGTATGCTTTAAGTACAAATGGGGAATCTTTGGCCCTCCAGATACTCCTCAACTCCATCTCCCCTCTGCTCCCACCAGCCTCACTTGCAGTCATGGAGAATGAGATGTTTTTGGTTCCGTGTCTAGAGGGCTGAAGGCTTTCTATCTCTGCCTTGGGAGCTTACGCTGCATCTCCCTTCTTAACAGAGCTAGCGTTTCCCCTTAACATGTGTAACATCATCCTGTTATTGATTTTTTTTTCTTAAAAGCTACTTTTTTTTAATCTGCTGACTCTGCCATTTTATGTTTTATCCTTGTGGTTTTATTATGGCTTTTTTTAACTGTTTGTATGTAATTCACATCAAAAGGCGAAGGTTTTAATCCTATAAACAGACCACTGAACAAACAGATCCTTATACCTGTCTGACTCCCTGTGGGAGAGACATGAGGAAAATCCAGGTACAGCAACGTCTCCTGAGGAGATTGCGATAGTGCAGCTTGACCTGTTGAGTTCCTGCCTGTTGTGCGGTGATTTAAAGCACAAAAGGTCTTGGGGGGATAGAGGGAGGAGGGCAGCCTTGATCGCACAGAGACGTTTCACAGGTCTCTCGTGTCTCATATACTTGGTGTTTAGACCACAGTCCTATGACCACGATGCTACATCAGCCAGGACTGTACCTTAGCAGAGCCTATCTACCCATGCTAATGCTGGCCCCATGTAGTGAGCAGCATTGAACTTCCCTTCTACGTTTCTTAGAATGCACTAGAGTGTTGTGAAATCTAAAATGGCAGCTTAGGGCTGCCTGTAGCTGTTCTCAACTAAACCATGACCAGTGGGAGCCCTTCAACATAGGAGGAGGGAGGCCAGAGAGAACACTTTGCTGAGGGTCATTTTTGAGTATGGAAATGGGGCTGCACACAGACGTCGTCAACTAACCTGTTTTGTTAAATCCTCCTGGAACACAGGGCAACAGCTGACATGAAAAAGCATGATAATGACTACGAGAAGCACTGGGTTGTTCTCGTCTCCAAGGAAATTATACATGTGGCCACATTTGCTCCTACTCTGTGCCTCTGCACAGAAGTGAAAACAATTCTCTTCTGTTGTTTCTGCAAGGCCTGCTCGCACTGAGGCCTTCTGGGCTTGCTTTTTGAAGAGGTAGTGAGTGGGAAACAGCTACCCTAAATCCGGAGCCAGCCTTCTATTCCAGCACCCATTATTAGAATGGGTGAGGCTGGGATGGTGGTGAAGGCAGAATGAGTAGGGTATTTAAAGTCCTGCCCCAAAGGCACATCAGCCATGGGTTGTCCAGGCAAGCACAGTTTCCGAGAGTCACACAGGTATAAGAGTCAAGTAGTCCACCTTGTTTCTAAAGAATCCATCAGTGCCATGACGGGCCAGTCTCTGCCAGCCTGTCCCATCCTTCTACTCTTCAGATGTATCGAACTAAAACTCCCAGTCAGCACAACTAACATCTATTGGCTGATGAAGTTGTAATCCAATCCATCTAGAGCAGTGATTTTCACCCTTGGGTAACCTAGGTGTTCTTGGACTGCAACTCCCAGAAACCCTAAGCAGCACAGCAAGTAGTGAAGGCTTCTGGGAGTTGCAGTCCAAGAACATGTGGGTTATCCAAGGTTGGCAACCACTGCTCTAGAGGGTACAGAGTATGAGACAACTGTTCAGACTTCAACGTTATCACAAGCAAGGAGCAGAAACTACTTGCAGAGCAAATATCTTGAGATCAAGGAGGTGAGGAATCTTTGGCCCTCTGGGTGTTTTATACTAACACTCTCATTATCTCTTACCGTGGGCCACACTGGCTGGAGCTTCTGGGAGTTGGAAAAGCTGATGTTTCCCCACATTACATAACAATGGCAGGTTGTGCTTCTGAAAACAAAAGTTTCTTCATCTTCCCTCACAGTACGTACCTGTCCCAAGATGCACCTGAGCTTGGAGAATGGCCAAGTACATGTCCGCGGGATCGAACGGGTGCCTGTTGAAGGTACCTGGGTGGAATATCGGTGCAATCCTGGCTTCCATCTTGTGGGTAGTCCCCGCAGCAACTGCACCAAGGTGGGCCGTTGGAGTTCGCCCAAGCCTGTCTGCGAATGTAAGTCATACGACAGGACAGCAGAAGTGGGGAAGCCCAAAAGGATGGAAAGCTGTAACTGGAGAAGAAAGTTCTCAGTCAGGGTGGTGGGGTTATTATTATTATTATTATTATTTTCAGAAGTGTCTGTGAGGATGTATGAAGTCAGCAGAAATTCTAGCAGAAGAAAACATAATTAATTTTTAAGATAACGTTGTTTTAGATTGACATCCCAACAGCCGTATTGGTTGCTCCACTTTTCTCTCTGTCTTCTACAGAGGGCTAAAAGAGTGAAGTGGTGTTTTCTATATTTAAAGCAACATACTAAAGATAGATTTTTTTTCTGTAATAAAAGACAGGTATGAACATGGCTTTGAGGGAATAATCTTTCTTCAGAGGAAAATATGGGGCAGGTGGATGAGAAGAACAACTCATTATTTTGCCATGGCGTAGTTCTGTGGATTTTTTTTTTAAATAGTAGGCCAACCATGTAGGAGGAATACAGGATCACAAGAGATGTGCTACCTCCAGGGCTGGTGTAAAGTTGGGCTATCAGTAGAAGAATGGCTATACAGTGAAGGGATCTTTGGATGTGACTCAGATGTGATCCTCCCCTGTACCACCCACAACTTTAATCCATTTTAGTTGGCTTATCTGTCATTTAATTAATTGATTCTGATTGTGTTCTGCCCTTTGGCCAATAAGCTCAAAACTCTCCTTTTCCCAGCTTTATCCATGACTCTGTGAGGAAGGTGGGAGGATAGAGTGTAAAAAACTTGGGTGAATTTCATAGCTTAATAAGATCTAGAGCAGTGATTCCCAACTTTGGGTCCGACTTGGGTGAATTTCATAGTTTAATAGGATCTAGAGCAGTGGTTCCCAACCTTGGGTCCCCAAATGCTCCAGGATTGCAATTCCCAGAAATCCTGGTCAGAACAGCTAGTGGTGAAGGCTTCTGGGAGTTTTAGTCCAATGACATCTGGAGACCCAAGGCTGGGAACCACTGGTCTAGAGCGTGGATCTTCAAAATCCCAGGACAACACGACACCACACTGTCAAGGCATCAGCCTATCTGGCATCCTGCAAGCATGGCAGCACCTCTGTCATAAGCTATATATAGCTCATGTGAACAGTTAGTTTATTTTTATGTGCTGACAAGTCTCTTTTAACTTAATAGGGTTCTCAAGGTAAATGAGATATTTAAGACGTCGTTTTCCCAGTCCTTCCACCACCACCATCCCGTGAGTCCCTGTAGCTCAGCAGTAATTGGAACTCAGGTCTCCTGAGTCATTCTATTCACTAGGCCACGTTGGCTCTCCATGAACTCTTCATCTTTTTTCTCAGAGTGAATTCAAATAAGCTTACAGTATATTAAAAGCACACAATACGATATGAAAAGCCAATAATAAAAAGCATATAGTATAAAATGACAACAACATCAATTAGCTTCAAATAAAACTTCAGTTAAGGAGGCAAACATCACTAAAATAGCAAAGCCAAGAGGTCAATCAATTAAAAGCCTTCTGGAACAGCCATGTCCTTCCCAGATGTCTGAAAGGAAAAAAAAAACAGGGTAGAGAAACAATGACATCTCTCTCTGTCTCTCTCTTTCACTCAAACACGCGCGCGCACATCCCTCCTCTCTGTTGTATTTGCAGTTCCCTTCCACTGGCTTCCATTCTGAGTGATGGGGTTATAGCAGGCCGGGTTAACCCTCCTTCCCCAGCTGTGGCACCCTCGGCTCTTTTTGTCCCTTTGGTGCATTTAGGCTTGGAAAGCCTTTCATTGAAGCCACTGGGAGCCCACCTACCCCCCAATTCCAGGGGGACAGGGGACTGGGGAGAAAATGCCACCAGGCACATAGAGAGCCTCTATGGGGCATATTCTGCCCTAGGTGAGTTGTTCCCCCTCATGGTAGAAAACATCAGGTTGGATGAGCCTCCTTTGGGAGGACATTCCACTATATTGCCCTAGTCAGGCATTTATTAAGCCTGTCTATAACCCTATGCAAGTGCCAGGAGTGTGGAAGCCCCTCTTCCTTCCATCATCGTTTCCTTACAGTGGCAGCAAAACGTCTAAAGAGGCAGATCTCAGCGTATCTCTCCACACAAGCCCAGACACTGAAAAATTTGGATTCTGCCTCACGTGGAGAGCCTACAGAGATAAAAATAGTCTCTCCCACTTTCACAGGAAGAAAGTGACAACAAAGGGGTGGGGGGCTAGCATACTCCCGCTTAACTGCGTAGTAGTAAAGTGTAACTCCCTCCAGACAATTCCTGATGCCCTCTCCTCTCCCTTTCCTATTGTTTCCTCCTTCTCCTAAGGTTTCTTCTATTTAAAATTTTTTATACTATTTTATGCTGTTAGCCACCTAGAGTGGTCTTAACCGACCAGATAGGCGGGATATAAATAAAATAAAATAAATAACACTTAACGAGCGCTTGGACCCGGATTCTCAGGAATACCTGACCTGAAAGCCCACCTCTTTAGGGCAGCCTGTGATTTTTTTCATTTGGCTGTGGTCTGGGATCCAAATAGCAATGGGACATCCAGGGCTTTGCCCTCAGGTTGCCAAATTTAGAGGCCGTGGCCCGGCAGCCCAATCTACCACCATAGGAAAAGACAGTGGTACTCTAGGCCTCTGGGGCAAACTTCATTGATTTATGGCCGGCTGAGCAGGCAGTTGATGAAGCTGCTGGGGAAGGAGAGTGGGAAAGTGATCAGGATTCCAGGCCCCAATGAGGCCGTGGAGGGCATGTCTACCCATGGTTTGGTAGACCACCAGATCTCTGGGCTGGACGGTACAGAAAGTAAGTTTCATAATATATATGATGTGCTGAACAATTTATATGTTAAAATATATGTATTAAATAGGCTTTTGATTTGTTTCTGTAGCTCCAACTGCACTGATGATCCCCTCTAGAAGAGGGGAGATGATGGCAATGTAATTACTTCTTGTATTATTTTCACATCATAAGTCAAAGTCGATTTTGGGGGCATACTCAGTGCTACTTGTCCAGGTTGCCAAAATGGCTACTTATAGCTCTGACAGTGGCACCTGGCACAACTGCAAGGAAGAACACAGAAAGCAATCTTTCACACCCCAGAACCAAATTAGCTTCCCAAAATAAACAGGCACCCTCCTCCTTCTCTGTCTTTCTAATAAAAATGCAGCATTATCAATTGGTAGTAAAAACTTGCAGATTAAATCCACATACATTTGAGTGTATGTGACTCAAACTGAGTGTTGGGAGAGTGAGAACAGACAAAATAAAACATTTCTTTATCTAGGGTGTTGTTAGTCTGTGGAACTCCTTGCCACAGGATGTGGTGATGTCATCGGGACTAGATGCCTTTAAAGGGGGATTGGACAGATTTCTGGAGGAAATGTCCATCTCAGGTTACAAGCCATGATGGGGATGTACAATCTCCAGGCTTAGAAGGAAGGTACCTCCAAATACCAGTTGCAGGGGAGGGGTATCAGGAGACAGGTATCTAGTTGTCTCATGTGCTCCCAGAGGCATCTGGTGGGGCCACTGTGAGATATAGAGGAAGCTGGACTAGATGGGCCCTTGGCCTGATCCAGCAGGGCTCTTCTTATGTCCTTATGGCTTTCTCTACTTGTTAAATCAGTCATGGGTCATGATCCTAGGTGTTTTAATTGTCATTATTAATTGTATTGCTAGAATTATCAGATCTCCCTCCTACACACACATAACTCTATTCTTCATCATTTAATCCAACACATAAAAATGTGTTTTCATGTAGCATATACATATTCTGTTTGGGAAGGGCTAAGAACATCTTCTCACATCTTTCTTGAATATGATAGCTTTCTCTCCCCACTTCTTTCTGCAGTGTGGCGTCCTCCTGTTTCCAGGTCCGGATCAGGTGAGTTCCTTTCTCATTACCTTTCACTGTTGCTTTTCCGTGTCTGTAAAACTTTCTCACCTTCATCTTCTCCTCTGCTTTACTAAATCTTGAATGTGTCATGTCTAGCTTTCCTTGGGACACATGAAGATTTCCCATTCTTCCAGCTGATCTTAAAAGATGTAATAGCTGATGGGAGACTTGGATCTCTCTAGGATTCCCCTCCCCTCTCCCAATACATAAGGCTACACATGCAGGCCAAAAAAAAGTCCACTCAAGAAAAAGCTTTATAACTTGGTTCTGAAAACTGTATAAATGAGTATGATGTTTACCCCATGGCCACTGCTTGTTTCAGCAAACACAGAGCTCACGAAGGTATCTCAACACGCCCTTTAACACGCTGCCACCAGCTGATCTCTTTATCAACATAGATTTCCTTTGAAAGACTGAGGTCCATTCAGTACTGAACTTTTAAACAGAAACAGGTTTATTGATTACAAGTTTTCAGAATAATTCCTAAGCACATTCTTAAAGTTACACAGAGCTTCTGTATTTTACTTTAACCTCTTTTGTCTTAATTAATACAGGTCACAGTCTGACCAATCACTCCTTAAACACTCTCTCCGCCTCAAACCGCCAAACTCTCTCTTCTCTGTCTCTGACTGAACTGACTAGACTCCGACTCACCCCTCCCTTCTAGTTTCTCTGGCTCTGCCTCCCAACATCTCTCATTGGTACATGCCAATAATCTTCTACCTGAGCCAAAGCAGGGTGATCGGGACAATGAGCCCTTACAAAGTGATAAACAAAAGCTACCATATCCTTTTAGAAGGAAAAAACTTTGTTTAAGACAGTACTGGATGGCATGCTATCTTTTTTTGCCTTTGCTAATTGAAAGAAGAGGGAATTTTGAGCCCTGTACTGTGCCGCACAACTAAGTGTGTGTTTGAATTCAGGTCTCCTTGTTCCCAATCTAACATCCTAACCACATTTCTCTAAGTCTTATCCATGCATGTACAAGCCCTGGCACCTCTGTTTAAACCTCTTGGTCAGCTTTCCATAATACTCTGTCTTGTTATTTTTTTAAAAAATAGATGGAGGTGTTGAGAGGGAATCTATTTTCTGCTAAGACTCAAGTTGGCCATAACTTGATGGATACAGCTTTACTTTTACTTTCCCACTGCCCCCATTCTAGTAAAGTTTCTATGCCAGTTCAAGTCACTTTGGGTAGCAACACGTAGAAGAAGAATCACATGCATTCTTCTCATGTGCCTTTGATGCATCGCAACTGTTGCTTTCAAGGGCAGTGTCCATTTTTCTGAAAGTGGGGCACACCTGCCCGGAATGCTTGATCACTAGTGCTCTTTGGTGCAGCATCACTGATGTGGCCAGAGAGCTGCCACTGGGTCTTATTTGCATGCACACTTTGTCCCTCAGCCGAGTCTGAGCCTTGTTGCAAGGGGTGCCGTTCTCCCTGTTCTGTTCCTTTTGCTTCCTTGTTAGTTTGTTTCAAAATGCTTTTAGAACTCAGGAGTGAGATCAGCTCTTTGCTCAACCCACAAGTTGGAGTGACTGATGTGCCATGTCCTTATGTGTCATTTCCCCCTGTTGGTAGGACCAAATCTGAAGAACTAGCCTTCCTTCTTGATACAAGCAGTTACTGGATGGCAGCTTATTTCAGGTTACACCTATTCACGATCTGGATTCCCAGTGAGGTGTAGTGGATACAGTGATGGACTGGGACTCTGGAGAACAGGGTTCAAATCCCTGCTCTGCCATGGATACTCACTGGGGGAGTAGAACTGGTAAAACCTTAAAACCCTATTAGGGTTGCTATACAGCAGTGGTTCTTAACCTTTTTGAAAGAAACGCCCCCTTGAGCCATTGAGGAAGTTATCATTGTAGGGTTGCTATACAGTACAGTACGTGGATTCCAACTTGATGGCATAGAAAACACATTCACTATCCAACCCATTTTTGTCTTCCCTGACTTGAAGAACTTCACCAAAACTCAGAGAGAAGGTCCTTCTCACGTTTGCTACCCGATCCTCAGTAGTGCAATACGTACAGGCAGCGCTCACATGGATGAAGCACTGGCACTTTTTAATTAGCAGAAACATTATCTACACCCTAGCCTTAGGCTTCCCTCTTCCCTATGGGCTTAGTTACCTTCCCACAGAGTAACTAGAAAAGAGATGGAATTCTCCAGTAACAATATATTATTCTGAGCTGTCCCTGTAGTAATGCCAAGTATAGATTATAAGTGGGACGTTAAGCCCCGTTAAATTTACAAAAGACACAGTGGAGGCAAACGCAGCTAGAACTGCTTTACTGATGTGGATCGAGTCATCTGCTTATATTTTTTAATTCTCATTGGTGGGAGCAATTGCCTGTGGGAACTGTTATGATGAGTGCCAGCACTTCAGTATACACCACTGTAGTGGTGGTTGATCTTTCTAACTAGAGATGCCAGGGTTGTAACTGGAACCTTCTTTCTGCATTTGAACCTTCTGTTCCTACACCAAGCAATGGTCCCTCTTGATAAATGGCTGTTCACCAGCCCTTTAGCAAATATCTTGTTTGTGACATTCATCTGCATGGCACCCAAATGATACCTCCTCAAATGCTACTATCCCTAGGACATTCAATATTTTCAATAAATCTTTTAGCATCCCTTGATTTGAGGCGGGGGGGAGAGTCTAACGCCTTTGGGTTGTCTTCCCTGTAACTTTATTGCTTCTTGCCATTCTATCAGGCCATCTTTGAAGTGTGGATATTGTCTATATAGATCAAAATTGGACTTCATCCTGCTGATTTGTATGTGCTGCACAAGAGGCAAGACGAGCTAAGGAGCCCTCTGGGCTGGTCCTGAATTGAATGCCTCTGTGTGCAGTGTAACCAGCTCCGCAGAGCAAAAACATCTCGCAGAGGTGCAGGGGTGATAAGTGGGGGCCATCCGTCCACATCATTCTCCTATTCTACAAAGGTCAGTTTTCACTTTGGAAAGGAAGGCTGTAGGCGTTATGCCTGTATATATTTCCTGAGTGTTTTGTTCTCCTTATTGCAAAGATTTCAACAGAACCTTCAGAATTACATGCAGCTTCCCCGCTAACCTGCAGGTTAGAGGGCAATTACAAGAAGTCTCCAATTGTTCAGCATCCACGGGGTTCAGTTTACAGAGAGTTGCCATTAATCTAGAAATTAACTTTCCCTCCCTGTTTAAAATAATAAAAATCCCATGGTAAATCTCTATGTGCTTTCTTCCTTCAAAAGACCTCTGGAAATGTTTTAAATGCTGAAAGGAGGGGACATAAAGCAGGTTTCTTGAAAGATGAAGTAGCAGTACCGGTGAGAGAATTATGCAGTGGTGTTTCTAAGCCTAAAGTCCAACATGTGAGATGCGGTGAGCAAGGTTAGATGTCCACTGCAGGTATCCGTAGCATAAATAGGTTGCATTGTCCTGTGCTTGCTACCTCCATTGTTCCCATTCCTTTAGTTCTCCATTCATTGTGTTGTCCCTGAAAAAGAAACCTAATGAGGAGGCATGCAAGTAAAATGCAGGGTGTAAAAGTGCTGGGCTTGAGCTGCAAAGACCTGGACTCAAATTCTATCTCAGCCATGAAGCTAAATGAATACAGTGGGGCCATCTCAAGAGACTGCAGGCTAATGACTCTGATCTTTCGTGGGCGCAGTGAATCCACTTTGGGTATTTGTCTGGACTGCAAAGTAGCTGTCTGAGATGCTGAACCCTACCTCCCACCTCCAACTGGTTCAGCACCTTGGACAGTTTCTTTAAAGTTCACACTAAACTCCTGGAGTGCAGTCCCCTCTCTGCAACATCGGAAACCCTAGCCCGCATGGCCCCCAGATGTTGTCAAACTGCAATGCTGATCAGTTATAGGGTGCATGGACAATGAGGGATAATGGGAGTTTTGATCCAACAACATCCAGAGAGTCCCACAATCCCTGCCCCACCTGGTATCATATGGAAGTCACCCTGAGCTTCTTAAGGGAACAGCAAGCAAGAACGATAGGGAATACCATATGAATGTCCCCAGCTAGCCTTCCATTTTGGGTACCCTAGCCCTCTTTAGAAACAGCCTGTCTTGAAAACTAACAAACACCCATACGCACACTGCCCACTTGCTGGCAGACAGATTGAATCTGTCAGGTAGTGTATACATAGTATTTGCCCTAGAGCTCAGAAGCAACTAGTTAGTAACTAATTAGAAGCTTTCCTACTACTGACACAAAAATAACCACGTTTCTCACTGTAAGGTGGGACTTCATAAGGAGGTATAGATCATTTCTGGAGAAGATCCTAAGTGCCCTCTTGTCCAATTCCTACACGGTTGATTTCTAGACATGTGTTCATTGGTTTAAATAATATTTGTCTTGTTCTTCAATCCCCCAAAAGTGACCAGAGCAAAACTTCCAAAAATCAACTGTTCAGCAGTCCTTATCCTATAGCTTACTATCTGAAAGTCATGCGACATATGGAAAATGAGTTTGGAAGGAGGAGAAAGAATGCCTTGACAAGGCCAGAAGATCGCAAGCTGGCCTCCCCATTCCTGGCAGGGTGACGCCATCCATTTGGTGACACCAGTAGGCTGAGAGTGAGATAACCTCTTGCTTCTGGTGAGCCACTTGCTGCTTTGGCATCCTTCCCTTGGGATTTTAAATTACGCCATGGGCCATGGGGCTCTGCTTTTCACTCTGGCGAGGTCATCCTCAGGCTGGAATGAGTAAGCACTACTTTATTTTATTGCAGTTTTTTGACGCTGGGCTGACCATCCCTATCCCTTAGTGCTCTCACACAATAAGTGTCTTCCTTTGGGCATGACTGTGAGAATCTAGCAATTCTTGAGAGTAGCCACATTGCTATCAAAGTCCAAGACATATGCCCTTGAATCAGTCAGTCTCGAGTGACATTAAGGCGCCCATAGTTCCTTCTGCCCATTCTTTTCCCTGATCCTTTTGGATCTGTTATTAATATCCTCCCTCCCCACTTCCTTCACCTTTTACGTTAATCAAAAGATCTCCGGGTGAGTTCCAAGAAGGGCCAGTACTGGCAAAAGAAAAGAAAACATGAAAACCAGTAGTAAGTTGCAACTAGAGCAGGCCCTTGGGTCAGTGGGAATTTGATGAGTCAACTCCTCTGTATACCACAGTCTCTCAAGACTGAAAGATGGCTACAAAAAAACTCCTTTGTAAGTTTCATTGATTCAGTGGAAGACTGAAAGATGCCTACAAAAAAACTCCTCTGTAAGTTTCATTGTTCAGTGGTCCTACTCTAGTTCCTACGTACTACTGGATTTCAACCAATGTATTTTAGCAATTTTAAAACTAATGATTCAGAAATATCAGGGAGAAAG